GATGCTGACGTATAGGAAGGAAGAAAGATTGGATGCTGAACGTATCGAACAAGAAAGATTAGAGGCCGAACGTATTGAAAAAGAAAGATTAGAGGCCGAACGATTAGAAAATGAACGTATTGAAAAAGAAAGATTAGAGCTGGAAAGATTAGAACTAAAAAGATTAGAACAAGAAAGACTAGAGGCCGAACGTATTGAAAAGGAAAGATTAGAAGCAGATCGAATTGAAAAAGAACAAGAAAGATTAGAGGCCGAACGTATTGAACAAAAAAGATTAGAAAAAGAAAGATTAGTGGCCAAACGTATTGAACAAGAAAGATTAGAGGCCGAACGTATTGAAAAAGAAAGATTAGAAGCCGAACGTATTGAACAAGAAAGATTAGAAAAAGAACGATTAGAGGCCGAACGTATTGAACAAGAAAGATTAGAAGCTGAACGTGTTGAACAAAAAAGACTAGAAGCCGAACGTATTGAACAAGAAAGATTAGAAACTGAACGTGTTGAAAAAGAAAGACTAGAAGCCGAACGTATTGAACAAGAAAGACTAGAAGCTGAACGTGTTGAACAAGAAAGACTAGAAACTGAACGTATTGAACAAGAAAAGTTAGAACAAAAAAGATTAGAAGCTGAAAATATCGAAAAAGAAAGATTAGAACAAGAAAGATTAGAGCAAGAAAAGCTAGAAACTGAACGTATCGAAAGACTAGAGGCCGAACGTATCGAACAAGATAGATTAGAGCAAGAAAGATTAAAAAACCGAACGAATTGAACAAGAAAGATTGGAATTCGAACGTATCGAAAAAGAAAGACAAGAAACCGAACGTATTGAAAAAGAAAGATTGGAACAAGAAAGATTAGAAGCCGAACGTATAGATAAAGAAAGATTAGATGAAGAACGTATAGATAAAGAAAGATTAGAAAAAGAAACACTAGATGCTGAACGTATGGAACAAGAAAGATTAGAAAAAGAAGAAAATGTAGATCATATCGAACTTTTTAATAAAGAGAAATTAGAAAGAGAAGAAATAGAACAAAAAAGTTTAGAGAAATCAATACCAAAAGAAAAGAAAAAAGAAGCACAAAAGTTTACATATGGCGAGGATGATGAAGACGATGATGAATATGAAGATAGTGACTATGAAAACGATACTCAAGCCCAACAAACTAATGAACATTTATCATCTTCATTATCATCATCAACTAATAGTATAAGTGAACCAATCAAAAATAGTAATAATATATTTGTACATAAACCACAACCATCACCCCAACAAGAAACAATTTCAGCAAAAAGAAAAGTATCTTTTTCATCTATTTTACCTTGGAATAAATCATCAAACAACACATCTCCAACCTCATCTCCAATTTCACCAGCACCACACAATAACAACAATACCCAAAGCAATAGCAATAGTATTTCAATTCCACTTTTATCATCCATTTTAAATGATAACTCAAATACAGCGAATACAAGCTCATCAAAGCTAAGCAATATGTCAACCGCATCACCAACTAGCACATCTAATACATTAACTGAACCACCATCACCAAGAAATAGTGGCCCAAGAGAATTAATGGATCCACAACAAGCTGCTTTTTGTTTAGATTTGTTAGATCCTATGCCAAAAGAAAAGAATTTAAGAAATAAAAATTTCGATATTACATATGGAGTAAATAAAAAATATTGCGAATTGTTTACAGGTATTAAAAAAGAATTATCATCATCAACTTATGAATCATCAGTTAGCTCTACTGTGACAAGTTTACAAGATATATCCAAACATAGAAAAAGTATAAACCTAGATATGATCAATCTATCAAAAACTATTTGTAATACTCCATTTTGTTAGTTGTATAAATTAAAATAAATAAAAATAAATAAAAATAAAAATTGTATATTTAATTAAATCTAAACCAAAAATAAATTTGTTTATTTAATATAAAAAAAAAAATATAAAAAAAAAATAGATAATTATTGTAACTATACTATTATTTTTTATTATTAGATATTATTATTAAAAGGATATTATTTATTTTTGATGTAAGGTAATTATTTAAAAAAAGATGCAATTTTTTCAAAAGCACTTTTTTCTTGAACAATTTCACCTTTATTTTCACCACCTTTGCCTTTAGCAGCGATTCTTTCGATAATTTTATTGGTAACTTGATCAGAGTCTTGATTTACATTATAGAATTCGATAAATTTGCCATTTGGACCAACAAGATAAACAATGATGGTGTGATCTACAAGGTAATCGTCGCCTTTGCCACTCTTGCTCATAAAAACACGATATGCTTTGGCTAATTTTGTAATTTGTTCTGGAGTTCCTGTTAAACCTTTGAATTTTGGATGAAACTCTTCGATATATTGTTTAACTTGTTCGACTGTATCTCTCCATGGATCGATGGTTATAAATACTGGTACAATTGAATCACCTAATCCATTATTTTCTAAATTTTTAACAACACGTGACATCTTTGATAACTCTGCAGGGCATACATCTGGACAAAATGTAAATCCGAAATAAAGTAAACCGTATTTTCCTCTTAAATCTAAATCTGTGAATGGTTTACCATTTTCATCTATTAATACAAATGGACCACCAACTGATGATGTACCATATGTTTTAATTTCATTTTCTAATGAATAAAATAATAAAAATATTAGTATTTATAATGTTATTTAAATTTAGGATAATTCATAAACAAGCTAGTTATATGGTAATATAATACATACGTCTTTGTCTTTTTTTTGTCATTAAATGATCGTAATATAACCAACCACAGGTACCACTTAACAATGCTACTAACAAACTACCCCATGTAATAGTTCTGTTACCTGACATTGATGAATTAGTTGTTTTAAAATTTTCACCATCATTACTATTATTTTTATTATTATTTGAATTAGTATTTTCTTCTTTCTGTTTTTGTTTTTGTTCTTGTTCTTGTTGTTGTTGTTGTTTATTGTCTTTTTGTTCAGTTGAAAAGCTTCTATATAAAATTTGATTTCTATAAATATTATTATTATTACTATTTAATAAATTTGATACTATATTTGATTTATTAAAATTATTTAAAATCCTTTTGTTTGATGATAATAACGATGAAATCATTTTATTTTATTTTTTTTGAATAATTATTATATTTGTAGATAAATAATTATTTACTATTTAGTGATTGTAAATATTATTAATTTAAAATCCAAAAAACGATTATGACAATATACCAAAAATGAAAAATAATTATCTAAAAAAACAATAAAAAAAAAAAAAAATTAAAAAATTAAAAAATTAAAAAAAATCAAAATTTTTTTTTTTTTTTAATTATTTTTTTGTTGTAAACATCATAATTATCTATTATAAATTTCATCATTCATTCATATTCTCTATTATATAATTATAAACTATGGTTTAAATATTCAAGGATTAATAAAAAAATAATATATAATAATATAGAATAATAATAATTTTAAAAAATTAAAAAAAATGAAAAATAATTATAAATATTACAATTAAAATAAAATACTATTATGTATAGTAGCAATAATAATAATAATTATAATATTATGTTTACAAATACAAAAATGGTTAATTTTACTGTTATTGTTATTTTACATTGTTACAGTATTTTTTTCATTTCTGAATGAAGCATATTTCTTATATCTATATCTTAAATAACTATCATTGTTTATACCCCCCCATTTTTTGTTAAATTCATTAACTAAAAATAAAAACAAAATACACCCCGTTTTTACACATGCACAAATATTAATGCAATAAATAAATAATTAATTTCAAAATTTTCATATCAACACACACTATGTATATAACACTAGCCCCATTAAATAATTTTAAAAAAAAAAAAAAAAAAATGAATGATTTCATACACACACAAATTCACACTATTATATTATAATACTCTAATATCAATGTAGAGAGATTTAATTTTGTAGAGTATCTTAACACAAACCCACTTTTTTTTTTGAAATAAAATAATCTTTTGATAGCCTAACAAATATAATAACAAATAAAAAAATAAAAAAAGTAATAACAAGAATATTCTTATTGATTACTTAATCCTTTTTTGAATTTGTTCATTTTTTATACTATATTTGCAACTATATACTTTATTTATATTTACACAAATAACAATAATAGCAATACAAAACAGTAATAATTTTACTGCTTGCTTAAAGTAGATATGCATTGTTAATTTTCATATCTCAATGTATTTTTTTACTAAATATATAAATTCATATAAATAATCAAGTAATATTGTTTTTATTATATTATAAAACAATAATAACAATATATTTTTTTTTTATTTAATAAATAAATAATAATAATAATAATTTAATTTCTATTTTTTTTTTTAAAAAATTATTTAATTGATATAAATAATAAATATAAATTTGTATTTTATAATTATTTAAATAAATATTATAAACATATATATTTTTTTAAAAAAGTAAGTTGTTTTTTTATATTTTGTATAGTTTTAAATATTTATACTAATTATTTATTTATTTTTTTTAAAAAAGATGAGATTAATTAGTATATTATTAATTTCATTTTTATTAAATATTGTGAAAAGTCAAGTTTATGACCAAAGGGTTTTGGCTTTAAAAGGTCTATGTTATTTGGATTTAAACCAGAATTCACTACACGATCCCGGAGAACCAGGTTTTGACGGTGTCAAAATTACTTTAAATAATGTAACAGATAACAAAGGAAATCCATATCCAGAAAGATTTTCTGGTCCAAATGGTGTGTTCATTTATGACGGTTTAACACAGCGTACTGTTTATATATTCAGATTCTCTAATCCAGATGGCTATTATTTTGAAGATTATAATAAAACCTTATCTTGCCCACCAGGTATTCCATGTATTCGTTCAACTACTCCAGAAGATGGTCTTTCAGCAGATCTTGTAATTGAAAATACTTATGCATATAATATTCCACTACTCAAGAAGGATGGTGTATTAGCAAACCAATCAATTTTAAGTGTCAAAATTACTGTTGATTTGGGTGTTGTACCAACACAACCACCAACACAACCACCAACCCAACCACCAACCCAACCACCAACTCGACCACCAACCCAACCACCAACCCAACCACCAACCCAACCACCAACCCAACCACCAACCCAACCACCAACCCAACCACCAACCCAACCACCAACCCAACCACCAACACAACCACCAACTCGACCACCAACACCACCACCAACCCAACCACCAACACCACCACCAAAAACTGGTGTAGCTATAGCCGGTAGTCTCTTTACTGATGCCGATGGCAATGGTAAAATGGATAATAAGGAAGTATGGTCATATGGTGTAACACTTGGATTATACAATATCAACGATAAATCAAGAGCACTTGACGTTAATGGCAATGTTGTTCCAAATAGTATTACTGGACCTGATGGTCGTTATTCATTTGAAAATGTTGCCGATGGTGAATATTGTTTAATGATTGTAGGACCAGGATACGTTAATCCAGGTTGCGTCGGCGATTTAGTTATTAAAAAGAGTAATATGCCACCATCTCAACCAGGTGACGGAGTTTCATCTCCAAATGTTCTTAAAACTGGTTCATATGCAGTTTTCCCAAGTGGTAATTTTGGTGGTAGTGGTGTTATTTACTCTGACCAAGATTTCAACAATTACTTTTCACCATCAGACACCCCAATCTCTGGTATTATTGTCAATGTTTATCTTCCAGTTTATGGTGATCTTTTAACCAGTGTTGTAACCGATGCCAATGGTAGATTCTCATTTACTGGTCTTCCAGTAGGTTTCCCACTTAGAGTAGAATTTGTCATTCCAACCGATTATGTATCAACTGGTGGTTCTTTAGTTAAATTTATAACAGCTGGCCAATCGACAGACTTCAACATTGGTTTAGCTCTTAAATCATTAACTGATCCAAATGCTGGTCCAATGAATCCAATGTCCTTCGTTACTACTACTTTTGTTAAAGGTCAATACAATGGCAGAAACAAAGATCATCCAGTTGTTGTCGAAATTTCTAAAGAAGCCACAGGCAAAGGTTATCAAGATAAAAGCGCAAACAACTATATGAAAACTTTAGCTACACACAAAGATGTTGGTTCAGTTCATGGTGTTGCTTATGATCCATTTACTGGTGCTAGATTTGTTTCATCATACCATAAATCCAATTCAGATTTTGGTCCAGCTGGCAGTTGTGCAGTATATAAAATTCGTGAAGGTGTTATCAATGTTTGGGCTAACCTTAATGAAATCTTAGGATTTGGTGTTTGTGGTGGCTACAATCATTATTTTGATTTTAGAGAAACTACTACTGCTGGTCCAGTTGTCGGTAAAGTAAGTTTAGGTCAAATGACATACAACAACAAAAATCTTTATGTCACCAATCTTGCTAAAAATGAAATTCTTCGTATTCCAACTGATGATACACCAACTTCAAGTAATATCAAGAGATACCAAGTTCCAAATCCAGGATGTAGCACTGAATCAGATTGGCACATTTTCCCAGTTACAATTCATCAAGATCAGCTTTACACTGGTGGTGTTTGTTCTGGCGAAAAAGGTAGTAGACTTTCAACATATATTCTTAAATATTCACCAGATACTGATTCGTTCTCGCCTGTATTGTTCTTTACCTTAAATTATCCAAGAGGTTGTCGTTTCCTTGATACTTTTGCAAACTGTATCTCATCAATTTGGAGACCATGGTCAAATACTGAAAACCCACAACCAATGCTTTCAACTATTATTTTCGATGATGAAGGTCACCTTGTAATGACATTCAAAGATCGTTCTGGTGATATTTCAACACAAGCTGTTGTTTCTTCCCCAGAAATTTTAATGGCATGTTTGGGTTCAGATGGTTTATTCTATTTAGAAAGCAATGGTAAATGTGGTGGATATGTTGGTTCTGGCGTTAATCAAAAATCACTCTCTGGTGTCTCATATGGTCCAGGTGGTGGTAATTTCTTTAATACTCGTGTCGCTAACCTCTATGATTATGCTTCAGCATTTGGTGCTTCTAGAGCTGGTCCAGATATGCTTGTTGCTACTGGTTTCTCTTTCTATAGTCCATTTGAAGGTTCTCTTCGTTGGTATAATGCATCAAATGGTCAAATTATTAAGGGTTTTTCAATTTATAGCAGCAGTGATTCTGCAGATTTTGGAAATCAAAATGGTCTTGGTGATATTACTGGTGTATATGGAAAATCAATTCCACAATATCGTTCTGGTAGAATTTGGATCGATAATAATGGTAATGGTATTCAAGATGCCGGTGAACCAGGTATGGCCAATATTCCTGTCTACTTAGTTTCAAATGGCTCTCAAACCCCAATGGGTACAGACTTATCTGATGTTAATGGTGTTTTCTCATTTGAAACTCAATTAAAGAGAAATTATTACTGTACTATTCGTTCAGAAGATTTACCACAAGGATACACAATCTCCCCAAAGAATGTTTTCCCAGCACGTCCACGTATTAATTGCGATGGTGTTAAATATAATTCAATTTATATTTCAAGCTTTTCAACATCAGAATATGGTGGTTATTATTTCTCTGGTTGCAATTTCGGTTTCATTCCACCAAAATAAATAATACCATTTTTTTTAAATATTAATACCAATAGTTACATATATAAAAAAATAAAATAAATAAATAATTAGTTTTTTTTTACAAAATAAAATTTTTTATTAAATTATAAAAATATACCTTTAATCTTAATTTTAATCTTTTTTTATTTAGTAAATAAAATCATCAAAAATAAAATTTAAGATTTTATAAAAATTATTTTTACCAAATATAATTTTATTTTTATATTGTTATTTTAAAAAAAAAAATATTTAAGGGGTATATATGATTATCTATAATTTTTAAAAAATATATGTACAACTTTTTTTTTTTTTTTTTTTTTGATTTTAACACTTATATTCACATATGTGCATATAAGGTTATTTTTTATAAAATTTTATAAAAAAAATTAAATCTATAAAAATATTCTTTAAAAAAAACCTAAATTTAGTAACACAAATTAATATAAAAACCATCTTTTTACAAATTATTGATAAAAAAATATGGGATATTTGAAACTTACATTATTATTTTAACCTTTTTTATATTTTATAAACTATTCAATAATAAAAAATCAATGGATTGGTACATTAAAAATAATTTTAGAATTAAAAAAAAATAAAAAAACAACAATTTATTATTAAATAAAAATTTTAATATCAGTATATAACTACATTTCTAATTTAAATAACAATATCAAACGCATGTTATTTTATTATTATTATCGTTTGATTTAATAAAGAAAAAAAAATTACTATGGTTGTATCAAAGTTTTAAAACATTAAAACATTGGACCATTATTTTTATTTAAAAAATATTATATTATATAATAAAATTAAAGTTGATGATGATACTGAATAAAAGATTTCTTGTTTTCTTATTTAAGTAAATTATCATCCGAATGGACATTTTAAAACCAGTTTACAAATAATTTAAACAACATTAATAAATATTTCTTTAAATTAAATTATAATAATAATAAATTTTTTTTTTAAAATATATATACATACTCTTAAAGTAAATGATTGTTAAGTGGGAGATAAAAAATGATGATGTACATTCTTACTTTCTCACCATAACTCTTTTTTTCTCTGCTATTTAAAAAAAACTCTTTTTTTATAATTAAAATAACAACAATACTCATTATTTTATATAATATATAATAGTAAAATAAAATTAATAGTAAATATTATTGTTATTAAGAGTGGGTTTTTTTAGGATAAAATTTGGTACATAATCGATATAAACAAACATATTAATAAAACAGTAATAAAACTTTTCGAATTGAAGTTTATATGCTAATTAAATAATTTTTTTTTGTTTTTTTTTTTCTTTTTAATTAAAAAAACATATAAATTTAAATTTAAATTTTATTTTTATTAATAAATTATTTAAAAATAAAAAGAAAGGAAAATCCTCATTTTAATAAAAGTTATAATTTTATTTTTCATAATAAAATTAAATAAAGACAAAGATAAAATCATCCTTTTTCCCCAAATAAAAAATAAATCGATTACAAATAATAATAAAAAATAAAATGACATTATTAAGTAAATATCTTTTTTTTATTAATCATAAAAATTAGTATTCTGTATTCTTACTAACAATTTACATTTTATTTTATAGATATAATTACTCATTTAAATAATAATAATAATAATCATAATAATTATAATTATAATAATATAAATAATGATAATGATATAATAATAAACAATTACCGAAATAATGAAATATCTATAGCACTATCGGCAAGAGTATCCTTCAAACCTTTTTTATATTCAATTTTTCCTCTTAGTTATAAAAATTAAAATATTAAAGATAAATAAAAAAAACAAATAAAAACGATTTTTAAACCATAATTTTAATTTTGTATTTTTAATATAATTAAAAATATTATTATACTTTATTTTTATTATTCAGTGTTATTATTTATTTCTATTGAATTGTTATTAGTGGTATTATTATCATCAATATTATTATTATTATTATTATTTTTATTACTATTATTACTATTATTATTTGTTAATTTTGGAGATGATAATGTAGAAAAAATATCATCCAATATTACTTTTAATGATTTTAAATTTATAATATTATTCTGTTCATCTGTATAATACTTTTTAGTATATTGATTAATTTGATCAAACCCATCAATAATATTAGTTTTAATTGGTTTCACCAAAAGAGTTTGAGTTGATGGTGAAAGATATAGTTTCATTTTAGACAATACATCTGGTAAAAAAGTTTGAGATTTTTCTTTAACTTGCTCGATAATTTCTTTAATTCTTTGTGGATCTGCAAATGATTGTTGTGATAAAAGCATTGGGTCTGTTTGATTCTTAATGGACTGGTTCAAAAATACTGATATTTTTGTTAATAAAGATAATAATGGATCAATAACACTATTAGCTGTTGATAGAATAAATGATTCGATTGATTGTTTTAGTTCTTTTTCTAAATCCTTTTTAGAATCAATTGATGTGTTGGTAATTCTTGGTGATAATAACGATCAAATTGGGTTATTTGAGGATAATGTCAATAATGATCCAACGTTATATAAAGTTGATAAAGAATCTAAAACTTACAAACAATGATTAATATTCTGTAATAATATAA